ATCATCATGGGTTTGTTTGCTACCCGTTTCTATCTACAACAATTTTGTCAATTATACTAACAATTTTCCAACCACTACACATAACTATACTAACAATTCACAAAATGCAACATGGATCAAGGTATACAGGTACACAAATCTAAGCAAAAAAAAGTTATAAATACACAAACCCAGATTGTCAAGAAATAAAGAGACCATTTTTTTTTTATCAAAAGTAACGAGGTATTGATCTAGTCTAGAGTAAATGTATTTACATTATAAGCAGATTGAACATGTTGACATGCATCTAGGTATATAGGCCAGGACTCAAATATCCGATCATACTACATGAACTATTCACATATAATTATTATATGTTCGACCATCAAAGGTCAAGTATAGAATCTAACAAATTTTGACAAAGCACAAACCCGACATAATAGGGTCCATTGCCAACCCTATAATTAATTGAGCTAAACTGTTATAGGCCTGTAGCTGCACCAATGAAAGATGAGGACCACCTAAGTAATCAAGCTACGCCATTGATTGTAGTAGTTACCATCCATCAAGGAGCAAACAATAACATCTCAAGAAACTAAAGCATTAAAGGGGTTTCTCACAAAAGCATCAACAAAGCTTCAAACCCAAAGTTATCTCATATTGCACATATACCATTAAAGGTGTGTCCCTTAACTTATCTTGGCTGTCCAATTATTAGGGGAAGAGTTAAATTAATCTACCTTGAAGATCTGCCGAGTAAATTTCAATCTAGATTGAGGGGGTGGTATTCTATGTTGTTATCTAATGTGGGAAGGATTGTTGTTATCCAGTTATTGTTAAACTCAATTCCTGTCCATTTATTGTCTGTGTTGAACCTACCAAAGGGTGTTATTTCAAAGTTAAACTCAGCCATGGCTTCTTTCTTTTGGTCTTCTCAACCAAATGTAAAGAAGAGGCATTGGTGCTCTTGGAAGGCAATTACTTTACCCAAAGATAAGGGAGGATTGGGTATCAGAAAGTTTGAAGAGGTGCAGAAGGCATTTAGAATAAAACAGGTGTGGTAATTGTTGCAGGCTTCTTCATTATGGTCAAATTTTTTCTTTGCTAAATACCTACATCAACAACACATACTAAGGAACATAAGACATGGCACTTCTAGATCCTTCTCTTCTCTAGTACCTTATTTTGAGGTTGTAGTCGCAAACTCAAGGAGGATTGTGGGCAAGGGGGACACTGTGGACTTTTGGTGTGACAACTGGACTGGTGGAGGTCCTCTAATTCTGAAAGCAAATTCAATGCCTACTGAATTTCCTAAGCTTTCAGATCTACTGGTTAATGGATGTTGGGAATTGGAGGAGATAGAGCAGCTACTAGATTCCTCAGTAAAACAAGCGATCTACTTTGCTACTCCAGTATTGTCTAACAAAGAGGATAGGCTAGTATGGTAGCACACAGCTTTATGGAACTTCTCATTAAAATCAGCTTGGCACCTTATTAGATCTTCTGGTTAGTCTAATGTCTACGCGGCTACTATTTGGAAGCAATCATTGCTCCCTAGTTCTCAATTGATTGGATGGAAAATTCTATGTAATATACTCCCAATGGATTCTACGTTTCTAAATGTGGGAGTTGCATTAGCTAGTAGATGTGCATTATGTCTGGGGGATTCTGAGAATATGCAGCACCTATTTATGAGCTGCAGCTATGCTCAAGCTGTATGGAAAAAAAATTTCTTTCTTATTTGGATTTCAGGTGATATGTAATAAAGATTCTATGGTAAGGTTTATGAGACTTGCTAGAATTTATAAGCATTCTTCTCTGAGTCATGCTCTAGCAAAGGGGATTTCTCTATTGGTTTACTGGCAATTATGGAAAGAAAGGTGCTGCAGGCTTTTTGATGATCAAAGAATCCACTCTGAATGAGAATCTTGAGTCATTGTAAACTCCAAGTTCATAATATCAGGCCTAAATCCATGGATACTCAGCTAGGATTAGAAATCCTTAGCTCTCTCAATGTTGCTTCTTTCAAATGGCCTAAGATGAAAGTTAGCTGGCAAAGACCAACTTATCCATTTAATTAACACAAATAATACTTACTAGAAAATAGAAATTTAAAGATAGAAAAATAATAAAAACATGATACAAAGATATAACGTTGTTCAATATAGCATACTCATACATGTATACCGTATCTACATCCATGGACCAAAAATTCATATTGATATATTATTCACTGAAATCTAGTTATTTGGTAACTGATTACATAATACTCAAACTTATTTTATATAATACTCAACCTTATTTAGAGAGATAAAATATTGTAATCCAAATCTATTCAGATATAACTTGATCATTATGTTTCCTATTATATGTCTAATATACCTATTCATGATATATTAAAACTCTTCCTATTTAATTAGGTCACTAATAAACCTATCAATAGTTTATTAGGACTCTTAAATTGATTATCCAACAAACTCTCATTCCTGACAATTGGAGAGTTTGGGTCAAATTCTAACATTTCGCCTTAAACCAAACTCTTCAACTTTGGTCATACCCAAGATCGGGATTATCACCTTTGATTTTGACGTAATTAAACCAACAAATGGTATTAGAGTTATATTCCAACAAGTAGTATCAGAGTTATATATGTTCTAACAATTAGGATATTACATGTTACTCATGGTTCATTTAACTTCTTATATTGTCATGTAAATTTCATAGTCACTTTCCTCATGTTTATTATAACCTAGATCCATAATGATTAATTCTTAATGTTTACTATAATTCTGGATTTTGAAAAAGTAATCTTCTACTACTTCATATATAATATTTTATTCTTACAACTATTTATGTGCAACACACATTTGCACTAATTAGTGGTTCTAAGTGTGGAAAATTAAGCTTCTTTTCTTACCTTTATGCAACTTTAGCTTCCTTGTTTCTCTTCAATTTCATAGTTTCTCTTCAATTTCGTAGTTTCCTACATATTTGTTTTTTTAGGTGATTTTGATTTGATTCAGGTTCACCTTAACTTTCCAGTGGACGTGACCCTTGAGGAGGTGTTGTTGTGAGTATCATTGTTTTTCTTCAATTTTATAGTTTCCTACATATTTGTTTTTTAGGTGATATTGATTTGAGTTAGCTTCACTTTAACTTTTCAATGAACGTGACCCTTGAGGAGGTGTTGTTGTGAGCATATCTGAGTTAAATTTTAGAGTTACATATGTTCATTAGTATCTTCACGTACAGAGGCATAACTATTTTAAGACAGTAAATACACTCCTCCTAAATATCACATGTCAGCTCTTTCTAATATCCCAGATATTACTGGACGCGAATTGACACGAAATAATCGAATTTGAGTTAATCATCTGTAGGTTCGGATGGTAAAGGACCATCAAATAAATAATTGTTAGACTTGCCAAATAAATGGGTCGATAAGAAATTAGCTAAATATGATACAAATCTATTAAACACGACTCATTTACAACACAAAAGCTGATAAGACACACTTTCGACTAAAACTGTTTATAGTTTGCAAAATTGTGCATTAACAGGTTTCAGCCACACAGACATCACACCTTTCCATACTTATCTTACAATCTGCAACCATAATGCTGCAATCCCACTAAATGAATCCATAATTCGAGAAATTGAGCTGGTTTTTTTTTTTTTTTTTGGTGTGTAGTCCTGAAAGTTTGCACAATACTTTAACCTTCAACATTAGCTTAGAAAATTGCATGCTAATTAATAACATCATCTTTCTTTCGGTTAACATTGAAAAATCATAGCATCTTGAGACTATCCTATGACTTTTAATTGTGGCGAAAAGAATGCTACACATTTGGTAGTTGGACTGATCTAATCAACTTTTCTCCCCCATACCTCTACAATGGATGAAGACGGCAAAGGCGAGGGCGAAGGTGAGGGCAAAAGCGAAGGCAAAGACCCCACCTCTATAACTTCATCCAGTACAACAAACACGAAGGCGACGACCCTTGGATCTCAATCACTGACTCCAAGGTTCATCCCAATTTTATCAACTCTAAGCAAAAGAAAGAATTTCTTTGTATCAATAATAAAAGGAAAAAAAGGGAGTTGATTGTGGTGCTGTGGGTTACCGTGGTTGGGGTGCAATGGGTTTTGGAGATTGGTGGTGGTTCTAAAATATGGGAAATTACTCTGTCTGCCTCTCTATTCATCTAGTTTGAATTGAAATTGAATTTGACTGCTTTTTTTTGGTGGTAACGATATTCAAATAATTATGACAAAAAACAATATTTACATGAAGTATTTATGATATTTAAAAATTTGAGTCTTCCTTAAGAATGGGACCTAAAACTCAAGTTTTTTCAACAAACACTGTTGGGCTGTTCCTGCGGAAACAGAATGAGGAAACACCACCGCCCCATGTAGACACAAACACCACCACCAAGCCTCCATAACTTACCGCCCCCTGCCATCCCTATATAAAAACACATCCAAATTATTTTTTGTAAAAAAAATAGTTGGAACTACTCATCAGCTCCTCTAATAGCTGTAAAACTCTTAGCCATGACATCTCTAGCAAAATAATCAAATGGGTCCGTTTTCATATCTCCCATCTGTTTAATTTATGGTCTAATAACATCTAAACAATCTCAGAAAATTAGGGAGTTATGCAGAGAGAGAGAGAGAGAGAGAGAGAGTTTGCCAAAATAATATCTCTCAAACTATTCTATGATCCTTGTGAGCCTCTTTATGCATTGCCAATTAATTTTAAGTAAGATGCTTTAACACAACTCTATTATAGTGTTATACTTTTGATATACAACAATGAATCACTATTATAAATACAATATACTATCATTACAAGTGCAAAAGAAGATTTTAAAGAGAAAAACACAAAACTAACTTGTGATTCATTGTTAAGCCTAAGTATTTGACTTTATTATAATGCTACAGACATGGAAATCTAGTGATCAGCTTGAATTCATTCATTTGTGGACCGGCCAGAAATTTTCATGTTGTCACCAAAACTAACTTTGCATGGTATGTGCATGCTCTTGTATCTCCTTCCAAGCCTTGTTCACATGGCAATAGTCTGTAAGTGTTGCTCCAACAGCAAGGCTTATCACGTACACTCCCCAAACCACAGCATGTGTCATGTACACTCTCCCTGTCGCATTAATGGATTCCAAAAGCTTTCTGTTGAATTCATTTGCATCTTCTTCACCTAAAAGCTTTTGATTAGCATTTCCCATCATTAATGGCGAAATCCGAAAACAAACCATTGCAAAATTTCTAGGAACCACGACCTCGAACCTCTTATCCATGGCTATGAGCCCTTCAAAATGTTTAGCCATTTTTACATGACCCCTTATGAAGTTTCTTAGGTTTGATACGCCATAGCTTCTGAGCACAAGCCATAGCTTCATTGCTCGGAAACGTCGGCTCAATGCTATTTGCCAGTCTTTGTAGTCCACCACTTGGTTTGAATCAGAAGCCTTGTTCTTCAAATACTCCGGATCAGTTGAGAGAGCTTTGATTAGGGCACTTGGTTCCTTTACCCAAAGACAACAACAATCCAAAGTGGTGAGGAACCATTTATGCGCATTGAGACTAAATGAGTTAGCACCCTCAATACCCTGAAGAAAATGGCGAAACTCTGGACAAATAAATGCACTTCCTGCATATGCAGCATCAATATGAACCAAAATATTATAATCTTTTGCTATATCACATAATGGCCCCAATGGATCAACTGCATTGGATGAAGTAGTCCCTATAGTGGCACAGAAAAACAATGGAATTAGCCCAAATTTGATATCTGATTGAATTGCTGACTTTAGTGAATTGGGAGATAACCCAAATGCAGTAGACTTTGTGGTCAAGAGAGATCGAAAATTCGAGGGGTTAATGCCTGCAATTTTAGCAGCTTTTTGGAGTGAAGATTGGGTTTGATCAGACCATAAACAACAAGCTTCCCCATGTTTTCTCTCCCAATTTTGTCTAACATTTGGTCCCTGGCCGCGGTTAGTGTGCACAGGATGGCCTCACAAGTAGTCCCTTGTAGAACACCACCACCACCACCACCAGAGAAAAGAAATGAAATGGGAAGGTTAAGCATTTTTCCAAACCAGTCCATCACTATGCTCTCAGTTTATCAAATTTACATCCAATAGGATCCAATAAACATTAAATTCATCAAATCAACAACAAATTCAATTTGTTAACATTCAATTTATCAAATTAACATGCAAATTAATATTGATCTCATCCAATTAAGATTAAAATATATCAAATCAATATTCAAATTAATCAAATTAACATTCAATTCATCTAATTAATATTCAAATTCATTTAACTAACATTCCTTAAATTAACATCTAAAATCTTCTAATAAATATTAAATTCAATTCTTTTTGTAAGAATTGAACCCCTGACCGCCTGGTTGAGAGTATCAAGGTTGAAAATTTTGTCTAGTTTTATAAAATTGATAGTCAATTTAGTGTTATTTTGATAAAATTGATTTCTAAATTGATAAATTTAAATGTTAATTTAGTGTTGATTTAATGAATTGGATCTCAATTGGATGAAATTGCATGTTAAATTTATGGATTTTAATGTTAATTTAATAAACTTGAAGATTAATTTTGTGTTAATTTAATGAATTGGATCTCAATTGGATGAAATTGCATGTTAAATTTATGGATTTTAATGTTAATTTAATAAACTTGAAGATTAATTTTGTGTTAATTTAATGAATTGAATCTCAATTAGAAGAAATTGTGTTAAATTCACTGAATGTCATCCAATAAACGTTCAATTCATGAATCAAAGTATCATACAATTTCATCTAATTAATATTCAATTCATCAAATTGACATTAAATTAACATCTAAATTCATCTAATTGGTATTCAATTCATCAAATTAATTGACATTAAATTAACATCTAAATTCATCTAATTGGTATTCAATTCAACAAATTAATATCGAATTTTATTCAATTAACATTTAATTCAACAAATTAACATTCAAATTCAACTGGTTAATATTAAATTTATCAAATTAACATCAAAATTAACCATTAGTTCATCCAATTAAAATTCAATTCATTAAATTAACATTCAATTCATCCAATTTATATTCAAATTCCTCTAATTAACAATCAACTCATCAAATTAACACCAAAAATCATGCAATACATATTCAAAACATCAAATTAACATTTAATTTCATCCAATTAACATTCAATTCATCAAATTAACAACAAATTAACATCTTAATTAATCCAATTAGCATTTTATTCATCCAATTCATATTCAATTTCATCCAATTAACATTCAATTTATCAAACAAAAAATAAAATAACATTCAAATTCTTCAAATTAATTTTCAATTGCATTCAGTTTTTTTTTTTTTTGAGTTATAGAGATAAATTTTTATTCAAATGGAACAGAGACAAAAAATGGGCCAAAATTACAAGTCTCATAACATGAATAGTAAAAGACAAATCACACTGGGTCTTTTAATATAGTAATAGAGATACCATGATTCCCAGCTTAGCTCTCACTTGTGATTCCTTAGAAAACTGATGGCACAGCCTCCACGGAGGAATATTTTGCCAATCAATATTAATATTCAATTTCATGCAAATCAATATTTATTTTATCAAACTAACACCTGACATTCAATTTCTCAAATTAATATTTAATTTCATTCAATTAACATTCAATTTATCAAATTAACATAAAATTAACAAAATTTTGATATAATTAATATTCAAACTCAACTAAGGAAGATCAAATTTATCAAATTAATATCAAAATTACTTTTCAATTTCACTCAATTAATATTCAATTCATTAAATTAACACAAATTAACATTCAATTTATCCAATTCTTATTCAAATTCATCCTATTAACATCAATATTAAATTTACCACAATTGTGGAAACCAAACTAAGTGGAATATGGTGAAATTATTATTTTTTATCTAAAAAATGTTTGCGATCTATCGCAATGTTGCAGTAGTTTTTCCCCAAAAGTGATAAAAAAAATTCAAGCAATTTAATGTTAATTTTATAAAAAAAATTTGAACGATCAATTTGGTGTTAATTCGATAAAATTGGATTTTAATAAATAAAATTTGGTGTTAATTTGATGAAATTGAATTTTGAATTAATGAAATCGAATGTTAATTTAGTGCTGATTTGATGAATTGAATCTCAATTGAATAAAATTGAATGTTAATCTCATGAATTTTTATGTTAATTTGATAAAGTTTGGTAAAATTGATGGTAATTTTGGTGTTAATTTGATGAAATTGTATTTTAAATTGATAAAATTGAATTTAATACAATGTTAATTTGAAAAATAAAATATTAATTAGATGAATTCGTCCTTTTGGTATTGCTAGTACTACTTAGAATATGATGAAATTATTATTATTATTTATCTCCAAAATGTTTGTGATCTATCTCAAGAGCTTGAGATTTATTGCAAGGTTACAGTAGTCTCCCACAAGAAAGAGCTTTGGATATGTTGACCTGAAAGATTGTGATCGATCATAGAGTGAAACAATATATCATTGTACTTCATAACAATTTTTTGTTCTAAGAAGAAAAATTGCAATCGATTCTATGTTTTTTTGCAATCGATCATAGTACTACATTTTTTGTGATCTATTCCAATAGATTAGGATCTATCGCTAAGGTTTATAATATACCTTAAAATGTTAAAAGAATGTTTAGAATCGATCCCAACTATTTGGGATCGATCACAAGTTATGGGTCAGGCCCAAGGGTCTAGCTCAAATTATAAGTCTGATCCAAGTTCATAAGCCAATTTCAAGTGGTCCAACAAATCATGTCTAAAGTGTTCCACGCCATATCAAGATCATCAAGGTCAAGGAGCTACGATAGTGGAGAGCATGCAGGGTCATCCAAGAGTCTTATCCTCTTTCTCTTGAAAAGAGTCAACACCCACGTCATCATTTGACTGAATCTCACGGAGAGTACTGCAACTGCCTCTCCTATTGAGAAAAGGACGCTGGCTCCAACAGACTAGCCACTTAAATACTAATATTTCACCCAAATCTATTATGGGGCGCCTATAAATTATTAGCTCCACCAACACTTGGGGGGCAGATAACACTTTGTTGAGCACGACTCTCTCCTCTCCCTTTCAGCTTGTAACTCTCTGCTCTCCTACATATTTGAGTTAATAAATTATTCGGCGACTCTAGCCATTTAAAAGTGGGTGTAGGTCATCTTGACCGTAACTACTATAATTCTTGTCTTCTCTCTCTACTTATTTTACTCCATTTATATTGCTTACTTCACAAGTGGTGTGTAAACCAATTTGTGCATCATCAACAAGTACTCTTAATTTAATGGGTAAATTTACTAGGACATAGGTCAAGTTTACTTTTATTTTGGTTAATATTATGATATTCATGAATAATAAGATTTTTATCACCATATTGATTACCTTTAATAGAATTTTAATTAGCACGAATTTTAATCGATTGAATGAAAGTAAACATTAAATTCATGAATTTTAATGTTTATTTAGTAAAATTGGAGGTCGATTTAAATTGAAAAAATTGAATGTTTATTTGTTGTTAAATTTTAACTCTTATTTTGAATTGATGAAATTTTGAATTTATGAAATTAAATTTTATGAATGTTTGCAATTTATCACAAAGTTACTATAGCCTCCACCAAATGTGATTTCTTCATGCAAATTTGCTAATGTACGACTAATCTTATTGAAAAAGGATAAGTTTGGAATGGATGACAAGTTCACATGAGTGAGTTTTATTGAAACCTAGAGATTGGTGACTGATCACAAATATTTTGGATAATATTAACACCATATTGTTTAAATTTAATATTTTTAAGTATAATATTGTCATTGTTGGGGTAAGATTTACCAAAATCGTGGGCAATTTATTACAATTAAGAGTAGATTTATCACATGAGAGGATCAATTTATAATAATTAAGGGCATATTTATCACCTGTGAGGATAAATTTGTAGCAATTGTGGATAAATTTATTAAAATTAAGGGTATATTTACCACATTTGAGGGTTGGTTTACCACAATTAAGGACAAATTTACCATTGTTGTGGGTAGGCGTACTAGATTTTTGGACATATTAACAATTTTAGAGGACAATTTACAATTGCTTTGGTAATATTTACGATATAAGTGGGTAAGTTTATGATGATAAAGGGTAAATTTATTACTGTTTAGGGTTAATTTAGAATGATTGTGGATAAATTTACTAATACATAGGGCAAGTTTACTTTTATTTTGGTTAATATTGCAATTGATCCTATGTTTTTGAGATTGATCATAGTACTACATTTTTTTGATTCAAGTTAATGAAAATTGATTTATTATATATTAAAATTTGAGTCGATTAAATTTTATAATTTTTTATGTACCAAAATGTATGCCGATTAAAATTCAATGTGAATTGATTAAAATTTGATGAGAGCCGATTAAAACTCAAATTGAATTTTAATCGACTCAAATTTTAATAAGTATAACAAATATAAATTTAAATTGAATCAAATTTAAATACATAAAAAAAAAAATTTTAATTATCTCGAATCGAATTTTAATTTGCACGAATTTTAATAAATAAAAAAATATAAATTTCAATCGACTCGAATCGAATTTTAACATTTAGTTTCATCCAATTAGTATTCAATATTATCGAATTTCAATGTTAATTTGAAAAAAATGATAGTCATTAAATTCATGAATTTTAATGTTTACTTAATAAATAGGCGGTCAATTTTGTGTTAATTTTATGAAATCAAAGTTTAATAAATAAAATTAATGCTGATTTTTTATTAATTTGGTGAAAGTGAATTTTGCGATTTATCCCAATTATTTATTTTTTTGGAATATATCAAAATTATTATTTTTTTTTTGAAATATATCAAATTTATTATTTATAATATATCAAAATTATTTTTTTTTCTCCAAAATGTTTGCGATCTATCCAAGAGCTTGGAATCTATCGCAAGGTTGGAATGGTCTTCCCCCAAAACTTATTGAAAAACTGTAAGTTTGAGATCAATCACAAAATGTCTATGATCGATCACAAA